TAATAATAGATTCTGACTTATGGCAACCCTCACGAGGGTTTTCTAGGTAGAAAGCAGATACCTAAATTGTGCTCGCCTGGAAGAAAGGCCTAGCCAGCCAACTTCAGGTCTGTGATAGGCCTAGCTTCCTGTTTGAAAAGGAAGCTGCCCCAATGGTGGCTGGGAAGTCTCAAACAGGAAGTAAGGCCTTTCCGAGCCATCCTGCCCAGTAGCTGCTGGTGTCCCAAACCTCTCTGAAGTTACTCCACTTACTCTTTTAATATGTCCAAGTTGGCAGGCCTTACTCTGCCTGGTGGCAGTGAGTTCCACTGTGTAACTGGGCAAAGCAGCCCTTCCTTTTTCTTCGGAACCTTCCACCATGTGGCTTCGGTGCCTGACCCCAGAGTGCTAAGATGATGGAAGAGAAATCCCTCTCAGCAGCAAAAGAAGGGAAGGGGTGAAGATTTGACTGATACCCTCATTTTTCTCTCTCTCTGAAATGTTTGTTCTGTTTTGTTACAGCCGCCTCGTCGTCGAATGTGATGGTTGGCCAACTTGGGGGAAACGTTACCTTGCCCTGCCCGGAGGGGGAGGCAGAGAACACCACTCTGACCCAATGGCGGTTCGAGGGGCAGAATCTAAATTCTTATCCAGCTGCCCCCCTTATTGTAGGGACCGATCTTTTCCTGCCGACGTTACATTTCAATCATTCCGGTTTCTACAGCTGCCACGCAGGCAAGAAGCTCCTTCGCACCTGGTGCCTGGTGCTGGAAGGTGAGAGCCATTCGTCAAAAACAGAAGAAGAAAAAACTCAAATTTTAATTTAAAATCCGACTGCATGCTTTCCCACCACCAGCTTCCTTCTGCTGGCCTCGTGTCTTCTCTTCTTCCTCATCCCACTCCATTCCCCATCACTCTTCTTAAAATCCGACTGCATGCTTTCCCACCACCTGCTTCCTTCTGCTGGCCTCGTGTCTTCTTCCTCATCCCACTCCATCCCCCATCACTCTTCCCAACGCCTGGGTTCTCAGGCATTGGGAATTAGAGATGGGATATTTGGATTCCTGGGACTACAAATCCCATCATTCTCCGTTCTGGGAGTTCTGTTTGACAGATGCAGACTTAAATGCGGCTCGCCTGGAAGAAAGGCCTCAACAGGAAGGCGTTGAGGCTTAGCTAGGCCGAGCTTCCTGTCGAGAAAGAAAACTCCCAGCAAGCACTGGGGCAGGAACAGGAAGCTTGGGTGGAGCTAGGCCTAGCTGAAGCCCCAAGGCTTCCAGTTTAGGCCTTTCCACCCAGGTGAGCCGTAATTTCGGTGTCCACTTGTCAGACAGAACTCCCAGAATGGAGAATTATGGGATGTGTAGTCCCAGAAACCTGAACACCCTCTTCCTGCTTGCTACATTTGCCTCTGAGTACGGCCAGAGCGTCTGTCCCTCCCTGACCATCATTTCCTCTCCTTTCCAGAACCCTTGGAGAGTCCGGATTTCACCTGCCGCCGGAAGAGTTTATTGAAAGATATTCTGTGCGAGTGGAAAATGCCACGCCCCATGTCGGTGTGCACCAAGGCCCGGCTCTGGATGCAAAAAGTGTGAGTGGCACTGGGACAATGAGCCCATCAAGAAGAACGGAAGGGCAGGAAAACTAGATTCCTTACGTGGGGGCTTCTGGGATCAATGTCCCCACTTATTTTGAGTCCCTTGTCTCTCTTTCTCTTTTCCCTCTGGTCCCCCCCCCATGTCACCCCTGGCAGGTCCCCGAGAGAAAACCCCACAGAGCAGCAATGTCGCTATTACGGAAAATCCCGGAAGGTCACTTGTCGCATTGTCGGGCTGCACCACGAAGAAGATATTTTCTTGCTGGTGACTGCCTGCGTCGTCAACCCGGTGGGCGCCTCAAACAAAACCAAGTACCTTTGGATCAACTCGCTCTGTGCGTAAACCCATCTCTGTGCGTAAACCCATCGCTGCTAACTGGGGGGGTCCACAACCGCTCCTTGTTGTTTCCAAATTGGGTGACCTCTGTTGTCCTTCTCTCTTCTGAAAGTTTGTTTTCGTTTCTCTGCCTTCAGTGAAGCCCGATCCACCGGCTGACGTGACTGTGTACCCCGTAGAGAAAGCCTCCCGCAAACTACGTGTCACCTGGCGTTACCCGTATTCCTGGGGCACCACTTTTTATCACCTGCAGTTCGAACTTCGCTACTGGGTGGAAACTTCACAGATGTACTCAGAGGTCTGATTTTCATTTGCTTTGGCCAAGACGTGGGGTGGGGAGAGGATGATGCCATGTATGAGTTGATACAGTTCATTGTGTTTTTTTGAAGACCCATCCTCAAATCCCCCCAGCCAGCGTGACTGGCTGGGAAGATTACGGAAGTTGTCATCAAAAACTGTTTCCAAGTTTCGGCATGGATCTGATCCAAGGTGTTATTGGAAATATTTTGGTCAATGCACCGGTGGAATAGCAGAAACAGAGTGATCAGATCCCCTTCTGTTTCTTCAGAGTTTAGTTGAAATCCTGGGTTTGACTCCGGGCAACGTTACCAGAAGCCCATGCGCTTCAAACTGTCAATGCTGGGGTGTGCATGTTGTGTGTGGTTTTCTTTTTCTTTTTACCAGGAGCAGGTGTTTTGTAAAGCCAATGGGTTTTCATTGCCCATTCGCAACCTAGAGACACCAGAAGGCAGTGGAGAAATGCACTTACAGTGGTGTCTCGCTTTACGATTGCCCTGCATTACGACAAATCCGCTTAACGATGATCTTTTTGAGATCGCAAAACGATGGTCTAAAATGGGGGAAATTCGCTTTGCGATGATCGGTCCACTGCTTCGAGAACCGATTCTTCGCAAAACAATGTTTTTCTAACAGCTGATCGGTGGTTTCATAATGGCCGCCGGGTAATTAAAATGGCTCCCCGCTGTAATGGGGGAAATTCACTTTGCGATGATCGGCCCACTGCTTCAAGAACCGATTCTTCGCAAAACAACGTTTTTCTAACAGCTGATCGGCGGTTTCAAAATGCGTTTCAATGGGGTTTTCCCCCACTTTACAATGTTTTCGCTTAACAGCGATTTTCCTGGATTTGCTTAACGGCGATTTTTCGTCGTTAAGTGAGACACCACTGTACACCCAGGCTGATCCAAAAATCCCAGCGCTTCAACCCTTTGTGCATTGACTCTACTGTGCCACTGGATCTGTTTTGTATAACCCATCCTTCTGCTGTTTTTGCTCTGCCCTGATCCGCCTGTTTAGATGTTCCAGGATGGCTGACGACAGAAGCCACTGACTCGGATTTCAAAAGGGGTGCTGAATCCACTCCTGTTTCTGGTCCGAATTTTACAGGACGCATGCCCAAATAGATTCTTTATCTTTGACAGTATCTTAAATGTTTGGAGCAGAATCCGGAGCGGATTCTCTCTCTCTCTCTCGATGCAGGAACCATTCTGCTTTCTTTCGTTCACAGGTTCAGCTTCGGCCTGGGGTCACATCCTATGTCATCTCTGACGCCTTAGAAGGGCTGCGGCACATCGTCCGGGTGCGATGCCGTGAAGAATATAACCACGGGGCCTGGAGCGAATGGAGCCGTGAAAGTAGTGGGATACCCTGGACAGGTGGGCCCCCCTCCTCCTTGAGAAGCGGGGGTGTGTGGGGGGGTCCACTTACCCACATGCCAGTGCAGTGGTCAGAGGAACAGACCAGAACTGAAAAAACCCAGATTTTGGGGTCCACTGAGTCACGAAACCCACCGAGTCACTGTGGTCTGCTCAGCCGAGGTACGCCTGTATCAAGAAATTCCACACAGTCCTATAAGCAGTTGCAGATTGCAGAAATCACACCCTCGGAGCTACAAAAAACAGCAACGTTAGGAACAGCCTACATCCCGCGCCGATATTTAAGAGATACTTAGGTTTTCGGTTAAGACTTGTATCTGTTATATGATACCCATCAATGTTTTTATAATTTTGACTGTGCCTGGTGTTTTTTTGAATAATAATAATAATTTCACTCCAATCTGTCCTTTTGGTGTTTCAGAACCGAAGGATCCTGAGCCAGAATTGACGTCATATTTCCCAGAGGTATGTGGTTTCCCTAAGTCACAGGGCCTTCTTTTATGTGGCCCCAAAAGGCTCTGGAACCGACTCCCTGTGGTCCCGCCCCTTTCTCTCCACCCTTTCATAAACTGCTCTGCTTTTTGTTGTATATCTCTGCTGTGCTTTGGCGGAGATTGGTTTCTGCCCTTTTCTGCTGTGTTCATAACAGCTGGCATCTTAAATAAAAATAACACTCCAGTACAAGGTTGCTAATCTCTCCCCCAAAAGCACAAATGGCTGAAGGCTCTCTCCTCTATGCTGAGTTCCAGCCTCCCTCCAACCTAATGCTAGTGTCCAGATTATAATTTAAAAGACACAGCACAGAAGGAAAAGGTGACGAGGAGGGCAAAGGAAAACAAGAAAACTCAGGGGCAGGTTGTAAATATTATGAAGTTCCTTGGTCAGGGGGAAATGACTACTGGATGCCCATACAGGAGGGCAACTCTGTCTCTACTCAACAGCTGGGAGGTTCAACACAGACTCTTCACTGCTTCTTTCTTGTAGTTCCCCTATTACTTCATCAACACGGAGAAGCCCACAACTCCGGAGATCTCCAAAGAGCTGGACATTCAACAAGGTAACTGCACCTGCCTCTGTGACCCTGCTAGTCCAGAGAAATTTCCCGTCTTGTGGGGCAAAAAAGTACAGAAATATGGGGACAGTCTGAAGGGTCTAATAAGCCATGGGGAATGCTGGGGTCAAGGAACATGCTTTAAAGGAGACCCCTACCTTAGACATGCGTGTCTTAGACATACGTGTCCTGTAAAGTTCAGGCTGACTGTTGGAGCGGATTTGTATCCCACCGCTGCCACCGTGTCACAATTCTTGGTTTCACTGAAATGTTAGAACCAGGGTAATTACACAGATGTAAGGGTGGGTGAGGCCTTTTATTTGACCACTAAAAAAAGGACACACCAGCTTTCATTAATGATCAGGGTGAAAAAGAGGAGGAAAATGCCCACTCCTCACCAGGAGAGCATATCTTTTATTATTGCCCGGTCTTACTAGGGTCCATCTCGCAATTTTGGATCCAATATCTTATAAGGGAGTGTTTCTCAATCCACATATTAGGGCTGTGGGATGATTTATCATTTCAAAATTGCCTTCTGGCTTCAGTCGATCCATACCCAATGTAACTGAGTTTGCCGTTTGTTTTCTTTGCCTCCAGTAGAAGTTCCCACACTTGCATCCCTGCATTTGGTCCTCATGGTGGTGATCAGCGTGACAGTGGGCTTCACTCTAATTGCACTAATCATTTTCTGGTAAGGAAGGACAGTTCATTGGGACCTATTACAACCTTCACCTCCTTTTACCCAGCTTGACCTCTGGATCCGGACAGCTGTGTTGTTTTTTAAAGCGCCGCCGGGGAGAAAAACAGCAAACAAGGGTCAAATACCTGGAGAGAGGGATTGAGGTGAAAAGGTGACAAGGAGCAGCAGAGAAAGAGAGGGTGAAGGATAGGGCACCGGCCGAGAATGACCGAGAGCAAAAGAGGGAAGGGCTGCTATGGGGATGGAGAAGAGAGGATAGCAGAGAGGGGAGGAAAGGGTGCATAGTGGCAGATACAGTAGAACTAGGGAAAAGGATGTGCTCTGAGGCAGCAGGTGGCTCCAAAATAATTCTTGGGACCTATTACAACCTTCACCTCCTTTGACCCAGCTTGACCTCATAGTGGCAGATACAGTAGCGAAAAGGATGTGCTCTGAGGCAGTAGGTGGCTCCAAAATAATTACCCTTTTCCTCTCTTTCTCTACCATCTCTCTCTCCTCTTTCTCTCTCTTTCTAGCACCCCTTCTTTAACCGTTTATGACTCTCTTTCTCTCTACCTTCCTTTCCTCCTCTTTTCCTCCCTCTTTCTCTCTTTCCCCAGTGTCCCTTCTTCCGTTCCCTTGCACCTCGACCCATCGGCTATAGCCTGCCTCTTAGGCTGCCAACATCACCCTGACGCGGCTTTTGTTTGCTTGCTTCCAGGTGTAGGAAAAGATGGGGGCCACCTTCTTACAGAGAAGGGAAGCCGAGCACGGCCCCGACGTACGCCCTGGCCCCGTTATCTCCAGAACCTCCACTGAGCGCTTCGCCTCTCCTCTCTCCTCCCGCCTCGCCCTTCAGCGAGAGCTCCGTCGACAGCCCCCGCGTCCTGGATAACGGCCCGTACGACGTGGCGAACGCGGACTATTTCCTGCTGCCCAAGTAGAAGGCACGCTTTCGGATCGCTGGGCATCGGGGCGTTCCTTGATGCCAAGACGCAACATCGGGGCCGTCCACCTTGAAGGCGGGGAGATCCAGTTGTGGATGGAGGCACCACATCTGTCCAGATCATCAAGGCACAGTTAGGGCCACCTTTGATCATGTCGGTGTCGGAAACATCTCAAAGCCATCTTGGTTCCGTCGAAATTTAAGGATGGGCTTGGCTCATTCATGCAAAGTTATTTTAGCTTTTCCAAATATATCATAAGCACTCAAAGATTGCTTATGATCCTGCAAGACCTGGAGAAAACCAAGATGGTGGTTAAGGACCGTCAACGGATAGTGGTTGAGGACCACCCATGGATGGCCGTCAACTCAGCTATGGTTCCTGTATTTCGCTGGGATGTTCTGCAGTCAAGATGGTATGATCCTGCAAGACCCAACCATTTACCAAAGCAGCTGTCAGAGGAAAGGGTTGGAGGCACCTCTAAATGGTCCTCGGACAGGGCGTGCCTCAGTTTCCCCCAAGCAGCATCTGGAGGAGGCCACGTGGATCTCAGATGTTGTGACATGGTGTGGGTCTCTCCCGGTGCGATAATACTGAGGAAGACAGTGATCTACCAGAACAGGATCTGTCCATCGTCACTAGAACTCAAGACGGCCGTCCTTCGGATGACCCAGAATGATTGATGGGCTTTTTGGCACACCGAGATGATCCTTTCAAGACCTCCAGCGCGCGGGGAGGAACAAACTATTTAGGGTTGGTCTCATTTGCTGGGATGTTCTGCCCCATTTCGGAGTCAGCAGAAGATCATGCATTTTGGAAAACCACCGTTTCACTGTAGCAGAGAATTTTTGGACACATTTTGGCCGTACGACAAATTTCTTTCTTTCTTTCCGTTTCTTTTTCCTTTTTCCAAGGTTGTGCTGTAAAGCGAACACAGGCGGGGTGCTTGGACCCCATCAGCCTTTTGTTGCGGGCTCAGCAGAAAAGGCCTGAGCGTTGGGGGATGTCACCCTCGTAGGATCCTGTGTGGTCCATTTAAGGTGCGTCTGTGCTCGGATCCTGCCTGCGGGCTTCCCGTCAGGGCATCATGTCAGAACAGAGCGCAGGCTTTTGATCTTCGTCCTTCGTGGCTTCTGTTCTTTTACATCAAAATACTTAGGAATGGAACCTCTCCTTTTCAGGAGCAGTCTACCTCTAAACCCTAGCTGCAGGGGAACACGGTGCGGTCACCTTTGTATCCCCTCGGGAGATATTCGGTTTGATCTGCTGGTGACCTCTGCTTCTTATGGATTTAGCTGTTGGAGATTGGCTGGTTGTTTGCTAAGGAAGACAGCACAGCTATGCCAAAGTTCTGGACTACTATTATTTTAAAAAGCTGTTATTTAAAAAAGACAAACCCTTTATTTCCCCCATTTCCCAAATCGAGACCTTCATGAGAGGCAAACAGGCTTATAAACGCAGTTTTTTGCCACCAATGGGTGGCCTTAAGACCGATGGGACACTTAAAAAAAAGTCGCTGCACCGGTTCGGCCGATGCAGGCACTGCCAACATTGAGATGAAATTTGGCAGGTTGCCTGCAGGCTAGAGGTGTTCCTTTGCCCTTTTGGACTACAAATCCCAGAATCCCCCCCTCCCCAGCAGGATGTGGGTGATGGGAGCTGTAGTTTAAAAAGAAAAGAGAGAGAGAGGAACTTTAATCACAGCTTCTTCATCTGCCTAGTTTGCTTCTGTACACGGAGCTACGGAGTGTCCAGAAACCGTCTTGGCTTCGGGCAGCCAAATCTCTTGGGCTGCTCTGGCTCCTAGGACGATAGGAGATTTTAGGGGAGATTTAGTGTGTGTGTTTACGCGTCTCTCTGCGAACAACGGGGCCGTGCGGCAGGATGAGGCCTCTGGGTGAAGCCCCCAGTGTCGCCAGCTGTTTCCTTTCTACTCCCAGTTCTTCTTTTAGATCTTCTCGGACTGATAAACAGCTAGAAAGGAAGTGTGTGTCTTCTTTAGAGAAGAGGAAGTGAAATTTCCCCCCGAGGGAGGTTTGTCTTGAAACTTCTGGCCCCTTCTTTTGAGCAGAGCTTAAAAATCAGAAGTTACACATCGTGGAGTTTACCTCTGATGAGTTACATGCCCTGGTCGTGATGGTATAAATGGACTTTGGAAACTTAGCACTACTTTTTTTTACAAAAAAAGAACTACACCTCCCATAATCCTGAAGCCAGTGCAAGAGAAAGCATAAATGCTAATAAACTTTCCCCAAACCTCATTCCTGTGGTGTCTGTTTTCTGCTTGCGAGGGGTTTTAATTTTTTCATATCAAAGGTAGCCTTCGGAACTACAATCCACTATGATGCCGTCCGCGGAGGCAGCAGTCCCCGTTGCCCCCCCAGCCAGCTGCTCATGGAGGAGTATGGGTACTGTAGTCCATTACCTCCAAAGGACGCTCGAAAATTTGAAGCATTTACCTATTGGGGGACCAAATTTTACCATTCAGGTCCTGGGTGAGGAACATTTACTCTCTGAACTCTGGTTCTGGAGCTGTTTATACAGCAAATCAAAGCTGCCAATTCTTTTATTAAAAAACCTTTTTTCAGCAACCCTGTGGCAACTACGTGAAGTTCTATCTTCTGCTGATTTTGGATGGGAAGGAAGGTTGCGACTGTTTGTTTCCGAAAACAACAGCACGAAACCCCGGAGGCCAAACGTGCAAATTTCTACGTATTTAGGAAAGGAAAAAACTGAGACGTCGAGAAAGGTTCAAAGGTGAGAAAGACACCCACCTTTTTCTCCCCTCCCTGCAATCGCCCCCTCCTGTATCCCTCATAAGACTTATTATTATTATTATTAATTTTTTTGTCAGCAATATCGTGGGCTGATAACTTTTCCGCTTCGCTTCACCTTCGCTCCCTCCCGCCTCGTTCGTCTCAGAACTGGGTGAGTTTGGCGCCTCTTTTTGGGCTCTGAGGACAGCCCCAAAAGCAGAGTTTCGTTCCTATTTATAGGTCGATCAAAGCTAGAAGACGGGCCCCCACCTCAGGTAGAGACACCGAAACCTCCCTGGTTCGTTTGAAAAGGGCTAAAATTGGACCCCGGGCCCGACAAACAGATCTCAGGGGATGTCCCTTCGGAAGGAAATCCTGCCGCAGAAAAACCCACAACCAGGTGGCTTCAGATTTTGAATCATGGCTGTGCCAAACCAGATGTTTCTCATACAGATGCCTGGCCTCTATCTACCGTATTTTTCCATGTATAAGGCTATACTTTTGTCTAAAATCTTTAGACTAAAAATTGAGGACCGTCTTATACACGGAAGTAAGCTGAGGAGAGAACAAAAACAAGTGGAAGGGAAAGCAGGGATCAAAGCGATCCTGCAGCGCTTTGATCCCTGTTTCCCCCTCCACTTGCTAAACCCCACATAGATTCCTTAATTTTGGGTTAGAAAAGTGGGGGCGTCTTATACATGGGAGCGTCTTATACACCAGTGATCCCCAACCTTGGGCCTCCAGATGTTCTTGGACTTCAACTCCCAGAAATCCTGGCCAGCAGAGGTAGTGGTGAAGGATTCTGGAAGTTGTAGTCCAAGAACACCTGGGGGCCCAAGGTTGGGGACCACTGCTATACACGGAAAAATATGGTATCTATCTATCTATCTATCTATCTATCTATCTATCTATCTATCTATCTATCTATCTATCTATCTATCTATCTATCTATCTATCTATCTATCTATCTATCTATCCATCCATCCATCCATCCATCCATCCATCCATCCATCCATCCATCCATCCATCCATCCATCCATCCATCCATCCATCCATCCATCCATCCATCAAGAAGGCCTTAAAATATCCTTTTTTTCTTCTTTAAAACTGGTGATTCTTTCTAATTTTCTCACTTTCCCCTCTTTTTTTCCATTTTTTCTTATTTTCAAAACCCGTTCAGCGATGGGGTAGCAACCACCTGGCTTTTAACTGGGAATTTAAAAAAAAAACACCAAGCCCCAAATCATGAGAGAGTCAGGAAAACCCATGGGGGGCAGCAGTTAAAGATCCGGATTCTAGTTTTGGGGGTATTTGTTTCTTTGTAAGGTCTACCTTACAAGGTTGGGCTGAAGATAAACCAGAGAAGGCGAGGAACTGTAGACCACCGCATCGAAGTCATAGAAGGCGGTCTATAAATGAAAAAATGAAAAAATAATGTGTATCAGGCCCAAGCCTTTCCAGGACTGGACACTCAGATAGACACTGCCTCCCACTGGAGGTTCTGTCTCCGATAATCGCAAGAGTCTTGACAAATCAGGGCAAAAATCCTCTTTCATTTGGCTTTCTGTTCCTACCCTCAGAGTCTCTTTTCACCCCAAGAGTAGAAATAGCATTTTTTTAAAAAAAAAAAAAATAAAACCACACGATTTTGTTGTTTATTGCTTTCCTAACTGTGGGTTGAGAACCGCCACGCTCGGGCCTTCCTCTCCGGGCCCCGATGCGCCTGCTAACTTCCCCCCCCCCGGACCGAGATGTGTTGCAATCCATGGGGGGAGCAGTTCCTCCCCATAGAGCCTGAGAACAGCGTGTGGGAAATGCCACTGTTTTCGACATTTTTGTCGGCCGTCTACCCATCAGGGTGGAGGGGATGGCGGTGAGAGCCGGTGCCGGCGCGCCAGGGCTGACGGTTCCTTGCGCTCAGAAAAAGGCCAGCCTTCGCAAAACAAAGAAGGAAGCCTCCTCCATGCTGTTTTGGGAGATCTGAAGAGTAAAAGTAAAACCTCCAGGGAAAAGAGAAGTCTATCTGGTTGCAGATGAACCAGGTTAACGGCAACAGCAGGTGTTGTGCGTGCTCTGGGACTCTCTAGATTCATTTGTGAACTCTAAATTAGAAATAAGCCTTGAGAGGGTAGCAATATATCCGGTACACCACGCTGGCCCCCTTTGACAGAAAAAGGGAAACGGTGAAACTCACTGCCACTTGACCTAACACGGCAAAATGACTCTTAACACCTCCCAGAAAAGCTTTAAACTTGTCCTTCTTTGTCTACACTGGAAAGCCGTGTTTTCGTAAAAGGGTGTTTTGAGGCGAATAATAACCCTTCACTCCATCGCTGCTTGGGTGGGTCCAGCTTCATGGGTCCAGCGTTGTGGTCTTCTGACTTCACATCTGACTTTCGGCCACCCTAACAGCATTTTCAAGACGTGTGAGGCGTTTAAGGAGTCGTGGAACGAGGGCCGCCCCTTGCTCTGTGAGTTTCCATGGCCATGTGGGGGATTCGAACTCAGGTCTCTGGAGCCGTAGTTTGTCGCTCGACCCACTACATTGCATTGTTCTATCTCCCCTCAATGTCCAGGGGGAAAAAATTAATTCTGCTTCTGCTATGGACGACCGATTGTTATTTCCTCTTCTCCATTTCATCTGATGACACTCGTTAAGCTAATTCGTAACGAGGTGAGAGGCAACAGCGTGGCGTAGTGGAAGGACCGGCAGACGAGGTTCTAATTTCACAGTCCTGTGGGTCTAATATTAGTCTCCACATATTTAGGGGTAGGAGGAATGTGCAAAAGTTTAAATAATTGTGTTTTAGCTTTTTAAAATGCAACATTTTGTGTGTTTGGTTTATTTGTATATTTGTACCACAAGGTGGCAGTGTAGCCTCGGTTTTGGGCTCTGGTTTCCCAGCCGTGATGCTGATGAATTTATTTGGGGTGTGTGTGTGTTTGTGAAAGATATCTCGAGCAAGCCTGCTCTTGAACATGGAGGTTCTACTTTTGATGGCAAATAACGGCAAAAGAACAGCCCTGTTGGAACTGGCATCCTCCACAGGGAATTCATTCCTTTTTGAAGAAACTAGAGTTTTAGGGACTACAACCCCCATAATCCACCAGCCATCATAGGGATCCGTCTAGCCAGTGCAGGACAGGTGTAGGTCAACATCACCAGGTATACTTCACCTCCTTTACCATTCAACTCTGACTGATTAAAGATAATTTTAACTGGTTGTAGTTACTTTTCTACTGAAGGGAGGTGCATCACCTCACTAATCTTATGTTTTGTAACTTAGTTCAGTAACTGGTAGCGTGCCAGTGTTTCCTTTTTCAAAAGTAACTCCAACGCTAACAATAATTTTAATTACTCTTCTTTAATGAGAACATCAAAATTACTTTTCGGCCGTGTTTACCAAATCTACCACCACACATTTGGAAACTTGGAACTATGACAGTAACTAGTTACTTTTAAAAAAACCACTTTTCCTGCTCTGCTGTTGTTTCTTTTAAAAAAAAAAACAAAGTCGAAACTATTCTGGGATGTTCCGCCTTTGGTCCCCATCCAGATTTCCCTCTCCTCTGCTTTTCCGCCCATTCTCTTGTAACTGGAAAAGTTGCCCGCCTACGACAGGAAGATCAAATCCAGAGGCGAAGTTAAGACACATCAGATTTCCCAGTCTTTGGGGCGATGCGTCTTTGGGGGGGGGTTAAATGCACTACTTCTCAACTTTTTCTGGGGGTGTCAAAAAACCATCTAGAAGCAGATCCTTCCTGCATTCAATTGGCCCCCACTGCAAATTTAAGAATCTCAGCTTTTTTTTGGCATGGTTAAAAATAATAAATTTTTAAATAACTGAGTTTTCTTTATAGTTAGAATCCAGTCTGGTCCAAACGCTAGCCTGGAAATATGACACCCAGGAGGAGAGAGAATTCAGCTTCGATTTGAGATTACGTCTACACGGATTAAGGGGAAACCACTTCCAGACCTGTTTAATTGAGACTGGATTAAGTTGATGGATGTGACGAAGTAATAGCGAATTTTTCTTCAATAGGGCTGGAGATGAACGGGGGGGGGCTTATCAAATATCTTTTCTATGTCCACCCCTCACCGCACTCATTAGAAATCAACCGATAACCCTCGGTCACTTCGCAAAATATTTGCCCTCATGAAAATATACTGGTTGGGCACTAGATCCTCGGGCGGCCGTCTTCTGTGGGTCTACAATCATCCATGTAAGCTTCTCCACCAGTAACTCACTTATTCCTTCTCGTTTTGGCCCAAACTCTCCCATGGCATAATTACTTCCTGTCATTTGCTCCAGTCCTTCCCATGAGCCCCCCAACTCTGCCTTGGTGGCCAGTGGCCAAACTGGCCCGTCGGCGAACTTTGATGACAGCACATGATAATTGTAATTGTTCTCAATGTGTGCCGTTACAGTGGTGCCTTGCTTAACAACGTTAATTCGTTCCAGCAAAATTGCTGTAGAGCGAAAATGTCGTAAAGCGAAATAAAAAAGCCTATTGAAACGCATTGAAAACCACTCAATGTGTCTTAATGGGCTGAAAACTCACCGTCCAGCGAAGATCCTCCATGGGGCGACCATTTTCGCTGCCTGTAAAGCGAGGAATCCTTCCAAAAACACCGCGGGGAGCCATGTTAAGCAGCCAGCAGCCATTTTGAAATTATTGTCGTAAAGTGAAAATCGGTTCCCGAAGCAGGGAACCAATCATCATTAAACGAAAAAAACGCATTTAAAAGATCGCTTTGCGGTAACCAATCATCATTAAACAAAAAAACCCCATTTGAAACATCGCTTTGCGATAGCAAAAGCCTAATCGTACAGTGATTTCGTTGTAGAGCGGGGCAATCATTAAGCGAGGCACCACTGTAATGGGAGCTGCAATTAGGCGTTTTTGGCCCCCGGGGGCAAGCAAAACCATCTCTCCATTGCACCCCACTGTTTCCCCCGCAAGCAAGACCAGCTTGATACCTTCAGAAAAAAACAAAGCGCGTAGGGCCACGCTCCTCTTCTGTTTCCTAATGACCATCATCTACAGATTCTCCTCTGGATCTCAGTGCCTCCTAAATTTTGGGGGGTGGGGGTATCCCCGGGGTGACGGCCCAGTCCGCCGACCTTAGTTACACCCCAGCTGTCTCTTCCGGAAGGTGACAAGGGGTCGGCTAGGATTTGGGGGGAAAGCCAAGAAAGGGGCAGGGCGTTGCCTTGATCCGATCCCAATTTGGCGCAGTCACACGGGCGTAGAGGTGCCTTCTCGCCCATCGCGGACGCCTGTCCCTCCCGCCAGCCCAGTTCCCAGGCCGGGCCGGGGGGGGGCGTGAGCTAGTGGGCTTTGCCAGGAACGAGGACCGGGTAGCGGAGGGTCATGTGCTCGGCCCCTTTGAAGGGCAGTTTCTCGGTAGAGTAATACCGGACGACTTCGGGGACGCTGTTGAAGAGACCGCCGGTCTGGTCGAGGGTGTACCTGTGATCCTTCGTCTGGGCCACGATGATGTGGACGCAGCCCTGGCTGGTCCTGCGAAGAGAAGCAAAGGACCGAAAACCGGTATCTGTCAGCAACGGGGACCCTTTGTCTTGACGGATGGGGACCCTTTGTCTTGACGGATCAAAGGACCGAAAACCGGTATCTGTCAGCAGCGGGGACCCTTAGTCTTGACGGAGGGCGACCCTTTCTAGGGTTTTCCTCTCAGAAGCGCGTTACCCTTCCCTTCCTCTAGGGGCGCTGTGGGACGGTGCAGCTTGCCCAAGGCTACCCAGGCTGGCTCTTCTGCTTGGGAGGCACAGCGAGGATTCGAACTCAGCTTCGGCTCCACCGCCGGGACCCGGCTCCTTGAGTCTACTCTAGGGCAAGCGGCACCGTCCCAGGGCTCCCCCTAGAGGAAGGGAAGAGTAAACCACTTCTGTGAACAGTTGTGCCCCGCTGGACGATTACCCCGCTCTACGATGAATCCGCTTTCGGGTGCCCCGCTGGACGATTACCCCGCTCTACGATGAATCGGCTTTCGCTGGAACTAATTAACGTCGTCAAGCAAGGCACCACTGTATTCTTTGCCAGGCAAACCCTAGTCTCAAGGGCATCAATAAGTCAGAATCAATTTGACCGAGCAACGTCGTCAAGCAAGGCACTACTGTATTCTTTGCCGGGCAAACCCTAGTGTCAAGGGCCTCCATACGTCAGAATCGATTTGACCAAGTATAATTATTATAATTAGTTCAGGACATTTCTCCCTTCAAATGACCTTTGTGGGGTGGGGAGGGATTCACCCAGAACAGCTTGCCTTACGAATCGGAACATCCTTCCCTAAACCGAGGATTCTGACTACCCCCATCATCCTCGGGGGAGGGATTCACCCAGAACAGCTTGCCTACGAATCGGATCGCCCTTCCCTAAACCGAGGATTCCGACTACACCCCCATCATCCTCGCCGAGCTCAGCCTGATGGGAGTCGTAGTCCAAAACATCTTTGTGAAATATCGCCTCAGGACCAGAAAGGGAGAAACCGGGGAGGTCGGGATCCTCCCCTGGGAGAATTTCTGCCTTGGCTTTCTTCTCCACCAGCTCAAACGCGCCTCTTGTTTCTCTTTAAATGCTCCTTTCTCGCTCCTGCTCCAATTGTTTCCACTCCAGGGCCCAACATCCTGAGGAAGGAAGCCGGGAACCGCACCCAAGCCAACGGGGAATGAGAGAGGGAGGGGCCGCCGTGCGGGAATGGTGTAGGGGGTGGCGTAGCTTCTTCTCCTCAACTGCCCCCCCTCTCCATTCCATTTGCTGGCTGGACGCAATTAACACTCCCTTATAAACGCTGAACCAAGGGGGAACGAGGCAGTGGGTGGAGGGACAGCCAATGCAAAGCTCTAGCGTGGAATCAGATTTCTGCCAGGCAAAGGATTCCGGCTGCTAATTATCCAACCATATTACAACCACAGAGCTGGAAGGAACCCGATAGATCACCAAGTCCAGCCTCTGTTAAGGAGGCCCAGTGGGGGGATTCGAACTCTCAACCTCTGGCTCCACAAACTAGAGACCTAAATCCCTGAGTGATCTAGTAATCCTGTCCCTGGCAGGGCAGGAAATGGGGGGCCAGCAAACACCGGGCAAGGGGGAATCCCTGCTCTGCCTTTTTTTTTAAAGCATCAGGAGGGAATTGCACTCTGCTAATGCTCAGAGGCACCCTTGCTCCTTTGGATGTTTGATAAGTGTCAAGACAGAAACCGCCCTCTCCTGCTCCTTCACTCCCATCCTGCCATCTCTCCCTTCCTGGGGTCACGGATCCACTACAAAGCCCATCCACCTGCTCTGCTCTTGCTGTCATATGTACAGCTCCGAGCGCAGAGCAGGTGGACGGAAACGGTCTATCCGAGTCCAGCCGAAACCCCGAGCTTGGTTTGCCCCCCCCGGTCACCCGCCTTTCTTCCTCCGCCCATCATCCCCGGCCACTCACTTGAGAGTGATGGAATATTTGCTGGTGCCTGTCTCGCTGGTTCGCACGAGGAACCCGGCTTCCTTGCACGGCTGCAACCGGCTCTCAGCTTCCGCCCGCGTGATTGTGCCGTGAAACCAGCTGCGTGGGAAGGAAAAGAGTGACGGGGGGTGTGGGAGAAAAGGGGGGTCCCCCCTCAGGGGGTGGACGGAGCGGGAAAGGGCCTGATCCTCCACCCTTGGAAGACGTCTCGTTGGTAAACTTGACGCCGGGTCCCATCACCCTCGGCTTCTTGCCCTGCTGGGACTGATGGGATTTGTAGTCCAAAACCTTCCGGTGTGTTTGTGTGTGTCCAATTTCCCCACCTTGCTTTTAGAGATAACGATTCCCTCGCTACCTCTTTTCTGCCAGAATTAAACCCAAATTCCATCTAGAATCCTCCCTGTCGGGCAAAGTATCTGGATTACAACTCCCAAAATCCACACAGCCAGCAGGGTCAGGGCAGGAGATGGGAGTTGTAGTCCCCCCCCCCCGATTTTCTATTCATCTCTGTGGAAAGACATCTATAACCTTTTTTGGCACGTCTCTCCATGTGGGTAGAGTGCGTCTGGCCATGGAGGATCAATTTTCCCCTCGTCTCTCTCCGGGGAAGGACACTTATGGCCTTTCCCAGCATGCCCCTCTCTGTGGGTAGACTGCGTTTGACCATGAAGGATTGATTTTCCCGTGAAAAGGGATATATAACCTTTCTCGGTCTGCTGAAAGACTACTTTAATCCCCCTTTTTTTAAATTAAGGAAAAGAAGCTACTAATGATCGTTGCCATAGCAAAATCCCATGGCAATTAATTCCACCGGTTCGTTATGCAACGATCCTGTCTTTGATCCGACTGTCCATCAATCCGGCCATTCCACTGAACTCCCATCAGAGGATGACCCATCCACCCACCCTCTGCGCTCATCCACCAGCATCTCCCATCATCTCTGCCTCTCAGGCATCCTTCTCTTTAGATTCACCATCCGGCCTAGTGGTTAGAGCACTGGGCTGGTCCCCAAAGAGCCAAGAAACTCCCTCTGAGCTGTAATTTCCCAGAGCGATCTACCTCGCAGGGTTATTATGAAGACCGAGTGAGGCGAGAACCCCATACGCCACCTTAAGGTGGCCGGTGGGACTGCAGGGAAAAGGAGGCGATCAGAAACTCAACCCGCTTCCATTCTTCCCGCGCTTCGAGGGGGTGATTCCTTACGGCTGTTTCTCCAGGGCGAGGGCAGGATCCACCGGCTCCCCGTCCGTGCCCGGCTCGCCCACCACCGACTGGGGCTTCACCATCCTCGAGGGCCAGCTTCTTTGGCGGCAATGCTGTTGCCGCGGTGGGGCCGCCGTCTCCTCCTTAGCTGCTGCCAGAGGCCGTTCGGATCCATCAAACTGCACTGGAAGGATACAGGTAGAACCACCAAAATAATAATAATAATAAAGGGGCAGAAATCGGTAAAGCATCCATCTTGCTGGTACCGAGCTGGGAAAGTCTGCCAGCCTTCAAAGCCCTGAGGACACATGTGCTTCACCAACTGCTGGTCAGAAATCCAACGGGTGAAGCTGTCACTAATGTGATAGGTGATAAATATTGCCTAAACAGCTTTGTCTAGTTACCTGGAAGACATTCTTAAATCACCATAGGTGAGTAGAAATAGTATCTACTTACATCCGAGAAATACTACCGATTTTCTTATAAAACAGCTTTGTCTAGTTACCTGGAGGAAACTCTTTACTCGCCATGGGCAAGCAGCCGTATCAGCTATTTACAGGCGAGCCCTCAAGCGTGCAGGCAGACAGCCTTTCTTCCTACCTGAAAGCGCCTTGACAATCTGGTCTTTCTTCCACTCCCAGGGCTGTTCGTACTCGGCCGGCGGCCGCTCGTCATTTACAGGCAGTCGGGCTTCGGGCTTCGGCCCGGCCTCGGTCGGTTCGTACGGGGTGTCGTAGAGTTGCGGCGGCTTGGCACTCGGACGCTTGGCGCCGGGGTCTCCTTTGGCCTCGGCCGGCTCGTCCAGGAGCAAGACGGCTTTCACCAGAGGGTCCTTTGAACCCCGCCGTCGGATCTCTGAGAGGGAAGACAGAGAGGGATCCTCTGTCAGTCCAGGGATCCGTGGGGACTGAGCGAGTCAAACGGCTTTGTAACTTCCACTGATCCAATACGGCGACTCTTATTTTTTACTTACGGCTGGATTTCAGCCGATCAAACCAAGCCTGAACTACCTCTGGAGGCAAAAACTTTGAAGTGGAGGCTGTTGTAGGGGCAGAGGGAAGGAGAAAAGATTGGAAGGAAGACAGAGGAAATGTTGGAAGGAAGACAGAGGAAACATTGGAAGGAAGACAGAAGAAAACACTGGAAGGAAGGAAGGGTTAAAGTTGCTTATTGCTATTCTATGGTGTCATCTCGTAACCTTATGAACCAACTCTTCCTCTTTTCCTGCTTGCTAGGCTCTCAAGCTCAAGCCACCCCAAATGTTTGATACATTTAAGCTACCCCAAGGTTTGCTGTTCTGTTTTTCCTGCCACAGCCTAATGCAGCCATTAGAAGGGCAAACATGCCAAGGGGGGAACTCTGGAACTCCTTGCTACTGGAGGTCAGGCTGGCCCCATCCTTGCTGTCCTTCCCCAATCAGGCTAAGACCTTTCTCTTCAGGCAAGCTTCCCCTCAGTGACTAGCTGCTCAAGTGGGGTTTAAAAAATGGATTGTTATGCCTTACTGCTCTGAATGTGTTTTCGATGTTACTTCTCTCTACCATATTATAGAGCGGTATTTGCTCGATTCCTTTTAAAATACTGCTACACATCCTGTTTTTTAGCTTCTAAACATTGTCTTTCGATAATGTGAGCCACCTTGGGCCCTGAAAGCAGTTGTCGTCTGTCAGTTTGCTGTTTGATCTGTTCAATTGTACGTGGCGAAAGCTTTTATCCTTTCTCTCCGAGGGAGTTACCGAGACTGTAAGTGCCAGTTGATGAGAAAAGGCGTGGCTTGATCTTGGGGACTTGAAGCTATTCTGCTCTGTGATTCCCTGCAGTTGTACCCTGTTTCCCTGAAAATAAGACCTCACCTGAAAATAAGCCCTAGTAGGATTTTTCAGGATCCTCGTCATATAAGCCCCACCCCAAAAATAAGCACGAGTTAAGGGAAACCCCCCACCCTCCACCCTTGTGCAGCAACCCCCCCAAAAAAGAGGACAGGACTGTATTTGAATAAATGTCAGTGGTTGTACATGAAAAAAAATCCCCTGAAAATAAGCCCTACTGCATTTTTGGAGCAAAAATTAATATAAGACCCTGTCTTATTTTCGGGGAAACGCGGTACGAGGAATTTAACCAAATGTTCGAAACTCAGCCGCAGGTACGTGGAGTCAGTGAAAAGGCTGCGCGAGGCTTTTGGTAGAGCGGGGGACGCCCTCTGCACATGCTCAGGGACTCTGGAAAGCTGGGTAACAAAGCCAGGCAGAAGCAAAGACGCCGACGGGGCTGGTGTGTGAGTGACGGACTTCTGGTCTTGAGGCCAGCTTTTGAAAAAAAGCGTCCATATGCCACATACATTAACACCCCCTCCCGCCCGAACAATGCCACTTCGGCTTCGACTTCCTGTTATTCGCTCCGGCTGTGTCAGCTCCGGGTGGAGACTCCAAAAGCGGACGGCAGGCATCCGGCCGGTTGCTAAGGCGGGTCTGGCGGGGACCGGTCCGTTTCAATGAGGATCGGCACCTTAAGCGACTTCCCCTACACACACCCTCAAATAAATCTGAGCCGCAGATTTACACCCACCCACCCCGGTTTGGACGCCTTTGGAAAGCGGACCATACCGTTGCACCCGGGAGACCCACACGCCGGGATCAGCCAGGACGCACGAGGGCCCAATGGAACCTCCATATGTAGGAGCAGCCTACCGGGGATGTTAGGGACAACAACCCAGAGCACGTTCAAGGCCTTACCGCCTTTGTGACTTCGCGGGCAAGACCCGGCTGGTGGAACTGGAAGCAACGCAGATCCTTTTCGGCTTCCGGCATTGTGCCTTTCCCCACTCTAGAAAAATCAGATCGCTTGCCCGTACCTCAGACCCGAAAGCCCGACTGTGTGACAAATCCCTTCCGGATTCTGATCCGAACCTTGACGCCACCGTCCTTTCCATTCCGTGGTCTCTGAGGTTGGGATTTCTTGAACTGCCCCTCAGGGTCTCACACCCACACCCGCACCCCCCCACAACTAAACACACACCCACCCAATTTTTTTCCCTCTCGCTTACCAAACAAAATGAAAAACACACTCGAAACCAGCCAGGCCTTATCTTTTTCTAGCAGCGAGGCAGGAAACCAAGACCTAGTTTCCTGCTTGTATTTTTTATTTCCTTTTTCCCAGCTTTATCCCTTTCCCCTCTCCAAAGTTTATGTTCTCCTTCTCTTCCCGGTGGCAGGGAATATTATTATTCCGGTTTATAGGGTTCGCCGTAAGTATCCCCCACGGTAACCTCGGATTAAAACTTTGTTTGATCAGGAGCGGCTACTCCTCAAACTCTCTGGCGAAATCATTTGCAGGGGGTGGGAACACGGAGCGCTAGCCTCTGGTTTGGTTCTTGATTCGGTTTTTCCCCCCACTGCGTCGCTACACCTGGGTCAGCCGAGGTGGCGGGGTTCGAGCCGAGCGTCGTATCTGGCAAGGAGGCTCCGGCGCCCGTTTGCACAACTGGGTGCCACGAGCGAGTTGTGCGATCAAGCACACAAATGGGACTGCTTGAAGGCAGCTCCTGGGAAACTTCCATCGGGGTAAATTTTACACCATTCTGGGGTCCAGGCCCTGTCAGGGAGGCCCACTGGGGATTCGAACTCGCAACCTCTGGCTCAGATAACGAAACCACTGAGCTATCCAGCAGTTCAGACCAGAAAATCAGTGAGCAAATTAAACTCGGAGGTCTAATTTGCAGACTCCAAATGGCCGTGGGTTGCAAATCAGAGCCCAGTTCCACCGATCCTCTTGCTGGGTTTTCTGCAGTCTCTTATCTCCGATGAGCAATGATCGGAGATAAGAGCAGAAAAGCCTTTGGGGTGTTCCAGCTTGCGGGGAGATGTTCCTTTTAAGGGGGAAGATTTGAAAACAAGCTCCAGTAAAGGGGATGTCAATGATGGTGGGGTTTATACACAAAAGCTCACAGGAGAATCTGCCCTCCCCTCGGGAGTGTCGCTTTCTCTCCGGGACCAGAACGGAAACGCTGAGTGATGACCTTTTTTTTTAACAATCCCGGGCAGCAGCTGTTCCTGGAAGCGTTTGGCTAGCTCGGTATCTCCGAGTGACACCCAGGGAGCGCGTTTCCCAGCCAGAGCCTCGCCCTGGGATATCGCGGGGGGGGGGGAAATACAGTGTCCAGGATCTGAACCCGGCACTTTCTGCTTGGGGAGGGGGTGACCGTGAATCTGAGACGAGAAACCTTTCCAGCAGCTCCCAGGATAATGGGGTTTGTAGTCCAAAGTCTTCTAAGCTCTGCTAATCATGAGAATAGAAACCGTGGAACATTGTTTTAATGGTTTCGAATGCATATACCTTAATTTTAAAATTTTTACAGCAGGCGGGGGGAACCCGGCACTTTCTGCTTGGGGAGGGGGTGACCGTGAATCTGAGACGAGAAACCTTTCCAGCAGCTCCCAGGATAATGGGGTTTGTAGTCCAAAGTCTTCTAAGCTCTGCTAATCATGAGAATAGAAACCGTGGAACATTGTTTTAATGGTTTCGAATGCATATACCTTAATTTTAAAATTTTTACAGCAGGCGGGGGGCTGTTATATGGTTGTATCTGTTTTTAATTCCTTTCAAAAGGTTGTCAACCCCCTTGAGGGCTATCTTGCAGTGGGAAAGGTGGAATATTAATATA